TGATATTGCTCACGAAATCAATATAACAAGCCATACAACAACTCCGTCATCCTCACCACTACATTCACCAATATGCTCACCTATATCACCTCTCCGTTCACACTCATCATCATCACCTACGCCTCTCCGTCACTCATCAACTACACCTTACCATTTACGAGGCTCACCTTCATATTATGAAATCATTTAAATTGAATAATTTCGCCTCTCCGTTTACGCTCGCCTCACTTCATATGAAATTGTAAATCTTTCAAATCATAATTACTATTTTGTTATATTGATGTCTGTACAACATTCAATTTTGCTTAATATTATATTGCTGTACAACATTCAATTTTTTGCTTAATATTATATTGCTGTACAACATTCAATTTTTTTATTTTCAGAACGATGTATCTTTCATTATTTAGAAAAAAATACTATTTACTTTACTACATAAAATAATAAAATATGCTAAATCATTAAATAAGCAAATAAGCAGATCGTCACTGTATTATTTCAATTGGAATATTTTAATTATAACCTCCACAATTAATCATGAAAATTATTTTGAGAGTATTCTAGCAACCATCAAACTGTACTATGTTTCATCCATTTATCGTTTAAAAATTTCTCTTCCTTTAGCAGTTAAGTTTATAAATTTCTATTTAATAGTACTATTGAAATGTAAATTCGTTACCAACTCTAAATATTTTTGAATTTTGTAGCTTTACATAATATTCTATAGACTGCTCACGACTTTCTTTTCATAATTGTACAATAATATATAAAAATCATATGTTAAGGAGTTGCATTGTCTTTTCGCAAATTTAGTAATCAGTCACATATGAGTAAAAAGGTTTGATTGGGTTATTTGGATGCAATAATATCTTTAACATTACGTAATTTAATGCCGAACGATAATAGTAGCTAATAATGGCTATACTTTTTGAGTTTGGTGCATATCATTGTATCACATATATAAAATGATACTTCACATGATTAATTTCTTCTCACTCCTTTCTTCTAATATTTTTCTTCTCACTCCTTATATGGCCTAAAAAAGTATAATAAAATTTATGAAATTGAATCGTAAATACGCAATAAAATAAAGATTTGGAACTGATTTGAAGTAATCTTCTATATAAAAAAAGTGTCCAGTATTCACTTTTATTATTAAATGAAATACAAATTATTTATATAAATTAAATTTAATTTTTGATCTTGAAATCATAATTTTTAGTTTTCCCATCTCCTGATATTTTTAACTGATCCTGCATTTTACACAATACACAAT